ATTAGTATTATAAAATTTGGCTGCGAGTGAAATGAGTTACTAGAAATCATTTCTATTGTACCAAAAGCATATTTTCTACAAAATTCAATAGTTAATATTTTATATTTTTATAAATATTTTTTTCATTTTTAAAAATAAATATTATTAAGAAAGGAAAAAAATTTAATTTGTTTATCCTTTTTATTTTATAACTATGTAAACAACATTGATGTTCATGGTTGTTATAATAGAATCTTATATTTTGATAATTCAAAGTTTAAATTACCATGGAAGCAAATACACATAGACATTTTGTGTAATACATTTTTTTTCCTTAAAGAATTAATTGACACTTAGAAATTTTAAAGTGAATTTGGTTTTGGTGAATCTTTTAATTTCATTAAATTTGTATTTATATTATGAATATTTTAAACATTAATTGTATTTACAAGTAATCAATGTGTTATGGGAAATTATTTTATACCATATACAGTGGTACAATTTCTTTTGGAAATGGAATACAATTTTCAATTATAACACAATGCAGTACGATGAACATTACTAGCTGTTTTGCTTTCAGACTCATACCAGTTTTAAATATATTTATTAAAATATAAATTTGAAATATATTAAATTTCAATAATGACCAATAACAGAAATTGAACAAGGTAATTTTTACTTTTTAATAATTAAATATTTTCCAGACAAATATATAACATTTTATTTATGTAAATGTACTTATGTGAATTTTTTTTGGACTTTGCTAAATTATTATGAACATAATGAGTAATTTTTGTAACATTAACCAAAATCTAATATTATATTATACATTTTTTTTATAACACAATTGGTACTTTTTGTAATGCCTTATTTTTTTTTTTCAAAAAATGTTTTTATAATTACTGGCTAACTGTTAATGTTATAATAGTAAAGTATTCTTGATGATTCAAAGTTATGGAAACAAATGACTTTTAATACACATATACATTTTCATAGTAAATATGAGTTATTTTATACTTTTTAATAAGAATAATTATCTTTTTTTTCTCGTTTATACGGATTAATGAATTATATTATTATTGAATATTTATATTAGTTAGTAATCAATGCTTGTGGAATATATATGTTGATGCAATTTGTTTTAACAAAATTCAATAAAATTTTCAATAGTTAACATGCAGGATGATAAATATTGTTTGTTGTTTAACTTTCAAACATATCACAGTCATTACAACATTTATTAAAATATTTAAAATTTCAATAAATTACCAACAGTATAAATATTTTTCAAGGTAATTTTTACATTTAAATAATTAAACATTATCCAAAAAAAAATGTGGCCAATAAAAAATAGAACATTTTATTTAAAATTACATTAGTTAAATTGTTAAATAATTGCTATTTTTTTATTATGTATGTTTTAACATAAGTCATGAAAATGAAAGTTTATTTAATTTTTAAATTCACTATATACTTTATTTGTGTATAAGTACCAATAATAGTGATTACTAAATAATAATATTTCATGAGGAATGTCAAAAATAATGTTAGAAATCTTTTTTTAAATGGTAATGATTAAATTGTTTTAGAAGTTATTATTATTTAATTAAAAAACATTTGAAAAATGATGTATATATGCAATGAGGTACAATTAAATTTTTTTATTTTAGTAATATTTGAATAAAAAAGTTTGGAAATTGCTAAATTATTAGTTTTATAGATTAATTTTAGTGACTTTATCCAAAATCTGTTAAGTAACTAATATTATAATATGAATTTTTTTATAAGATATTTGGTCTGTATGTAATGGCTTTATATTTTTCTTCCAAAAATGTTTTATTAAATTGATAAATTATCTCTCTGATTTAACATTAAAAATTCTACTTCTCTTGATAAAAATATTGAGTGTCAACTTTTAGCTTTTATAATAAACATATATTTCTTTAACAATCTATAGTTGAAAATTTTTTTCTATACTTTTAATAATAATAAATTTATCATTTTGTTTTTTTATTATAATAAACTTTTTAATATATTCTTAACTTAGTTGAATATAATTCAGAATAGTTGTAAAAAATATCATATCAAAATTAAGGCTAGCATGATATCTAATAATTGAATTTGGCTGATAGAATTATCGAATATGTATTTTAATAATACTATATTTGAACTCTAGAATTATTAGCTATGTAATAATTTTTAAATTCATCTCTAATTTCTTGTAAGTATATCAACATTGTTTTATCAAATGAAAACCCATATTTTGAATTAAATAAAATGTGTCAAGTTTTATTTTAATAGTAAATGACATTTAAATTATTAACATTCGTTAATTCATTATAAAACATTTAAACATTTAATGTAATACACATGTATTCTATTTTCTTTTAATTATATTATTCTGTATTAATAAAAATGTTACTTGGGGCATAGAAAAAGCGATAGCCCTTTGATGATACTAGTTTTACAATATTGCCTTTGCTATCTAATATCAATAATTTTTATAACATAATTACTAGCTACTTGTTAATATTATGATAATATTCTTGTTTATTTAAAGTTACAATTAACATGAAAACAAGAGACTTTTAATACACACAGACATTTTCTTACTAAATTTGAGTTTTATTATACTTTTTAATATGATTAATTTTCTTTCTTCTCTTTCATACTGATTAATCAATCATATTAGCTAGTATTCAATGTTTCATGGAATGTACGTGAAATTTTAAACAGTGATGCAATATGAATTGAAACGTCTTACAGTAGTGGTTTTAATTGCTATTAAATTTAAATCTAAACTGGTTTTCCATTTCGCCGGAACTTTTTTTAGGCACATCTATAAATTTCAGTGTTATTATTTTCTCACCCTAAAAATATTTTTAAGAACACATATATATATATTCTACAATTTTTTGTGAGATCAATATCACATTGTTTAAAATTGCGTCTTTAGTACTAACTGTTTTTAATTTTTTTTTAATATACTTCACTTCAGCTTACACAACTTAAGACTTTTTATCCCTCATAAAAAAATATTGAAAACACAAATTATTATATACGAGAATTGATATCTTAGATAAAAAAAAATGATGTGCATTTATTAATTGAAAATAATATTTGACTATAAAATTTAAACAAAAAAATTGGTTCTTAAATTAATGATACCTCTATTTTATCATAACCTATATGCAAAGGCGTAAAGCATTTGAGTAAATGTATTTGAATAAAAGTATTCAAATACTTTCATTGGTATTGAATAGTATTTTTAAATACATTTAATAAAAAGTATCTGAGTAGTATTTTAAATACAATTATTTAGTATTTAATACTGTTTAATATTCAGTACTATTAATATACTTTTTTTTTTTAATTTGCTAACCGTAGCACAGCAAGCAAATTAAACTCAGTCAAAATGAAAATTGAGAATAATTCTCTGTTATTTTATATGTTATTTCAGTGATCGGCAATTGGCGGTCCGCGGGCCATATCCGGCCCGCGATGGGAAAATAACTGGACCGCCAAAAATAGTTTTCTTCAATGCCGGTTACCATACTTAATAGAAATATGTTCTTTTTTTAACACGCTTCTATTAGTTTCACGTGTATGTTGTTTGTTGTTTGTTTGTTGTTTGTTTGTAAGTTTGTAACTCCACGCGGCACGTGTTATTATGTCGCGTATCCCGTCGTGTATGTCCTTGAGACTATACTGTTGTAATGCATTCGTCCCACCCCGCTCCCCACTCGTAGACAACAATATTTTCTAACCCGTAGACGCGCGCGCGTCATCAATTATGTATATATATAACGACTCGTGCCACCATTATCAGCCGTCGCCCTATTATGAGTATTTGACTGACCAACACCTCGCGTTATACGCCGCTGTGCAAAGTCCAGCAAGCGCCGCACGCCCGACGACATTCCGCCGCAAATGATACCGTAGTCTTCTACCCGTTGTCAAAGTGACAACGTCTACGATTCGATCCGCACTCGCGCGCCGTCGCTATCAACGCTGCTAACCTGTTGACGTCCGAGGAACACGCCGGACAACGCGTCGTCGATGCCAGCGAAAGTGCCGCGATATTATGCGAAGATTATATATTAATATTTGTACGTATATGCGTATATGTTAATATTCATTTATATATTCCTACAGCCGACGCCTCTGCTGCCGTATATGCCTCGTGTATAATGTTCCCTCCGCCATGCCCGCCCACATAAACACGGCNAAATATAGTTTAAAAAACTAAAAAAACACGCTTTTAAAGTACATCGAACTAAAAAGTTAAAAATAATTTTTAAAATAATTATGAACAAAAAATACTAGTATTATTGTGATAAAAGCGTCGGGCGCTCAATATACGAAAAATATGGCACAAAGCACCCACGCTTTTATCACAATAATACTAGTATTTTTTGTTCATAATTATTTTAAAAATTATTTTTAACTTTTTAGTTCGATGTACTTTAAAAGCGTGTTTTTTTAGTTTTTTAAACTATATTTATTTTAAACTATATTTATTATAATGTATTTAGAGATTACGATGGCGTTCATCGTTTATCGTTGTTTATAATAATAGTCTAGATAACACTACACAGGACAGTTACAGGTGCTATTATAATATTATAAGTTATGGCTTGTAACATTTAATAATTTTTCAGTTCGTGTTAAATCGTCATTGTTATCGCATCGCGGTTTGTCGTGTTTAAACGAATATTTAAATTTATAAATATTATTTTAGCACAATCGAATATGTTTACTAAAAAACGTAAAGTCGATAATGAAAACAGAAAGTTTCTGACTGAATGGACTGAACAATATTGTTTCATATTAACAAAAAGAACTGGGGTCGTTCCAGTTTGTCTCTTATGCAACAGTACAGTTGCTGTTATCAAATGTGCCAATTTAAAGCGGCATCATGAAACAATTCATAAAGATTTTGATAAAAAGTTTCCTCTTAGCAGTGCAGCGCGTAAAGATAAGATCTACACGTATGTCTCGTCTTACAAAAAAGCACGACTATGTTAGTAAAAAGTATGAGTGGGCAAGAAAAGTCTGTTGAAGCAGCATTGCGTGTATGCTGGACGTTAAATAAACACCAAAAGGTCACTGCACTTTTTGAAGAAAAAAAGGACATCATTAATGCTATTCAAAGTATTCCTTTATCAGCAAGAAGCAATACAAGGAGAAACGAAATTTTGGCTGATGACAACAAAAATAGTTTAATTTCCATTTTACAGAAAGCACCATGCTACGCATTAGCACTTGATGAATCATGTGATATTATTGATTCGGAACAGATCTCAATATTTGTGCGATTTTTTGATGTTGAAAGTAGAGTATTTAGAGATGAATTATTGGCATTATTGCCATTAAAATACAAGACTCGTGGAGAAGATTTGTTCAAAACTTTTGACAACTTTATGAATAAATCAAATATTAGTTATGATAAAATTGTGTCCGTTTCAACCGATGGCGCCCCAGCAATGGTTGGTAAAGAAAAGGGATTTGTTAAGAGAATTAAGGATAAGAATCCTGAAATACTTTCATACCAATGCATAATTCATCAGACGTCCCTATGTGGCAAACTCAGTACAACACTGAAAGAAGTAATGGACGTAATGATTAAGATTATTAATTTTATGAGGTCCCGATCTTCTCTTCAGAACAGGCAGTTTAAACAGTTTTTATCTGAATGTGATTCGGCTTATACAGATTTACTTCAACACAACAATGTTCGTTGGTTGAGTAAAAGTAAACTGATCGAACGCTTTTGGAACATAAAAGTAGAAGTAATCACGTTCTTGGAAAAATTGGATTCGGAAGAATCAAAACAGTATCATAAATTTTTAACAAACAAGAGTAATATGCTAGCTGTGGCATTTTTAAAATATATTCTTGAATATTTAAATGCACTTAATACTGAGTTACAAGGAAATAAAAAATTAATTTGTGATCTGATATCAACTGTATCTGCTTTCCGTCGAAAACTGGAAATATTTGAACAAGATATTAAAAATCAAGATTTTATTCATTTTTCAACAATGCTTGAATATAAAAATAATTCCAATATAGATTGCACAGTGTTTTTAAGTTTTTTGTCTGATCTCAGCAAAGAAGTTTCCAAAAGATTCAAAGACTTTGCAAAAATAAGAAAACTTTCGCAATTTTTAAAAAATCCTTTTGAAGTTTCTCCAATAGGAGAATGGATTGACATAGCTACTTCAAATAGAAATTATTGAATTGCAAGAAGATATTTCATTGCAACAATACAAAACTGCATCTACTGAAGATTTATGGACAAAACATATTTTAGATAAGTACATTAACTGTAGAAAACTGGCTATAAAATTAGCTACCATGTTTGGCTCCACATACATATGTGAAACTTCGTTCTCCAAAATGACGATTTTAAAGAATAAATATCGTTCAAGATTAATTGATCTCCACCTTGAAAACACTCTGCGCATATGTTGCTCTCCGAGAGTACCAAATTTCAAAAAATTAACTCAGGACAAGAAATGTCATTTTTCTCATTAAAATAAATGAAGTAAATTTTTATGTATAAATTTGTATTTTTATTATTTTATTAATTTTATGTTTTATACTTTCATAATTTATATTATATTAAATAAATTGTCTTAAACTATGTTTTTAATACAAAAATAAACATATTTAAGTTTTATCTGGCCCTCGAAATTTTTTTTTCAAATTATTTGGACCGCCATGGAACGTAATTGCCGACCCCTGTGTTATATTATAGTATAACATAATTATTGTGCTTATCTAAATGCTATTATGTATACATCTATTTTTATTACATCAGTTGAACCTACAATAGTCTATGGCAGATTCAAATGATTTACNAATAGCCTATTGCAGGTTCAAATGATTTACTCTATTGTCAATAAGACATACTTTACAGGTTTTTACACGTGTACTAATATTTATTTTTTTTACTGATTAGTCTCCAATAATTAATTTTATTTACCTCTAACAAAAAATATCGAAAATAATAAATGAGTTCTCTTAATTTAAGAGTACTCAATATTTGACTCAAATTACCCTCTTGGTAATTATTTAGGTGGAACCTTTGGCTCTTAGTTAAAATAAAAACATTATTATTATTTTTTAATTGTATTCTTAGTATTTGGAATACTTTTGTAAAGTAATTGAATATTACTTAAATACTTTTGTATGAAAAGTATTCAAATAGTATTTTAAATACATTTTTTTTTTTTTGAGTATTATTTAAAATACTTTTTAAAAGTATTTTTTACAACTATGCCTATATGTATTATATTATATATAGTTTTCAGTAAGTAAGGGAACGGGTTTCTATTGTTCTCATTGTTTGAACAACTGGCCTATTTCCTTACTTACTGAACGCTGTATATATATATATATATAAACATATGCATTTGATTTTGAGAACTGCCTATAAAATGTCAAATTGATAAATAAAAGTTTGTTTTAATTTATGTTACACTTTCAAAACAAATGATGACTTTAGTCTTATAATATAGAAATAGTGGGCTGTACATAGTTTGATATATCGAGACAGTTATGTCACTAGTACGCGCTATAAATTTGCAAATGTAAAAAAAAAAAACTGGCTGTACTATGCTAACATTTTCTGAAAGATATGTCGCATGTACGAATTTTAACATTTGTTATGAAAAAGTCATTTGTTTAATGTATCTTAAATAAATTGATACATTCACAATTATTTATATTTATATATAATTATTATATATTATAAGGCATTTTTAATCTAAGAACAAAATTTTTAATTTCTCATAGTCAAATAATTTTTATATCAATTACAGCACTTTTTTTTTTATTAATCTAAACGCTAATTTTATCATACATTATAATTTATATTTTCAATTTTTTTTTTTTTGGGTAAAAACGCAATTGAATTATGATTAGTCTAAAGTGTTGTATATTCCAAAAAACTAGTACAATTAGTTGTATTGAACTAGAGGCTAAGTTACTTTGACCTTATAAAAAATTTAAGATATAAATATGTCCTTTTATACAAATATTTTTTAGTGTGAAAAAAACAGCCCCTAAGGTTTTATTCTAGTTGCGACTATGCAAAGATGCCAGAAGAATGGGAAACCTGTTTAAATTTATATTTAACAGCGATTAAAATCACTATTGTAAGACGTTTCAATATGAATGTGCCTAGGCAGTTCTGTATTCATGTTGAACCATGTTGAATCATAACTTCTTTAAATACACACCTGGTATACACAAATTTATTAATATTCTAATTATACTAATTGTGTTTATATTGTAGAATAATTAAAAAAAAATTCAGCAGGTTATTATACGTGGGACTATGTAAAAAATTTAATTTTGATAAAAATACTGATAATTGCGATTTAACGTTTGACAGCATAGTTGTCATAGATGAATCCCAATTTAAACGATAAACTCATAGACTCATACATCATAGATGAGAAAAAAATTGATTATTAAAAATGTACTGTTTTGAAAATGAAAGTACAAACTTATATAATTATAACCGTCTTGAAATTTATATATAACATATAATATTTCTTGATAAAATATAGTGCTATGTGCAAATGCAAAATAGTGTTCTAATAAAAATACATATTACACCATATAATTAAGGTTCATAATAAACGTATGAGCAGAAATGAACTATAAACTGCGCATATAAAAACCATGCGCGTGGATTAAAAAAAAAAAAAAGCTCGTAAAACGGTAAAAAATGAACGGATTAAATTGATTTTTTTATCATATCTCAGGAATGTCATTGGGCGAGTCTGATGAAATTTTCAAACCTTAAGTTGTAAAACGCTGGCTTCAGAGAGCGTTTTTCTCGAAAACGGTCAAAATTTTAAAAAAAATTTTAAAATTTTCCGACCTTCGCCAATATTTTCCTGGAATCTGGTGACCGAGTACTTTCGTTGAAAAAAATAATTTTGAAAATCCGAGCACGCTAATTAATTTTCCCAGAAAAGCGTTTTTTTCCTTGTTCTATTATATAATAAGATATAAATATTTAAATAATAAAATAAAATTAGTATGTTCTAGTTAACACCAGACACATTAAAAAATGTTACATTACTTAGAGTAGAAAAACGCCTAACACATTGTTTAGATACTGGTGGTCAAGTTTTTGAACATATACTAAAATTAAAAAAATAAATTGCACAGCATGACTTTAAATTCTTGTTGATTATTAAGCATTGACAGAAGTAAATGTTGTAAATAATTCTCATTCGTAACTTTAATTTTAAAAATTTAACATTTTCACTTTACTTGACATACATGCATGCTGATTTAATAAGCTTTTTATAAATTTTTTTTGCGATTAAAAAAGTTATATAAAATGTTTAATAACAACTAATATAAAGATTAAATCATAAACATAACAAAATGACCGAAAGTATAACTCAATAGTACATTTATGTACAATAATAATTCATAACGGTAAAAATTGTTAGTAAATAAAATAATCATTTAAACAGAAATAACAGTGTTGCCACTCGCCACTTAAGATTAATAATTTGATAATTAGAATCATAAAATATATCAGAACAGAAGAACATAGTGTTTTTGTGTAGAGGGCTTATTACAACATTTTCAACCCTTGGAACTGACCGTAGCCGTAGTGTTATGCATACTGTGCTTATCAATGCCTCCAATTCCATTTATCTTATGATTTACATTGCACCGTTTTAATTTCAATAGCTGTACCATTTTTAAAGTTATCATGTTACACTCTGGTCTCAAGTCTAACAATATTCTACGTATAATCGGTCACCGCATATTAATACAACAGCTGTGGAAAGTAATACGGTGTTACCTTTATCTACTACTGACTGGGTTGTCATGACCGTTGATTTATTATTTATCGCTAGTGCTTTGATGATACGGGTACGTCATTATTTTTAATGCTAGTTCCATACTTTCGCGAGGTCCGCCTCGTTGAGAGTCTTGTCGAGTTAACGCGAGGCGAGGTAGCGCACGAATGCATAGTCTACCGAGAGTGTACTCTCGTGTAGTCTCGTGACTCACTCGGTTGTTTTTAACGGTTGTACAAAATGGATGTGGTTGAAATAACAGCTGCGGCTGCATTGTGTGCATACAGTTATTATAATTTTCTAAATTTAAGCCATTAAAAAAAAATTAAACAATCCAATAAGAGGAGATGGTGGACAACAACCATACACAGAAACAGAACAAAGTAAGTTAGTTTGATATTAAGTATTGACCTTAATGGCGTAATAAGAAAAATGATGGAGAGAATAATTTTAATTTGTACTACTCTTTACTAATTTTTCTTTCAGGCAAGGCATGGAAAATGTATTGGTGAATTGTTATATGAACCTACAGGCGAGTTTGAAAATTTTACTTGAGTGTCATTATCAGATTTTGAATATTTACTCACTTTAATTTCACCTATTATTTCAAAACAAGATACTCAACTGAGAGATTCAATCCCAGATAAAATAAGACTAGCAATTACGCTACGATTTTTAGCTACAGGTGATAGTTATAAAAGCCTTCACTTTTTGTTTAAAGTATCTAGCCAAATAATATCAAAGATTGTACCAGAAGTATGTGTAGCAATCAAGTTCTTAAAAATGAAGTGAAGGTAAAAATTTTATAATTATTTACTTAATAAATAACACTTTTCATAATAAAATTATATTTTAAATTGTGCAAAAGAAAATGACATTTGTTTTATTTGAACAACCTGTTCGTAAAATAAAATAAAAATTTAACAATAAAAACATAAATATTAACTTTTTAAATATTTATATGAAAACATTTTTAAACAAATATTAGAAATTAAAATAAATTAGTTACTTTTTACTAGAATAACTAGGAACATAATTATAAAACTACATGTTGAATATTACACTATCATCACTGGTTATTACTTTCTTCATAATTACCAACAACAGTGTAATAAGCTGTATCCACTATATTTTGAATATAGGAGTTAGAGACTGTCGATTGGTTTGAAGTATTACTTTGTGTATTTGAAGAAGTAGAATATGGTGTTAAAGGTTGTTCCGGAATAAGTATTGAAAGTGGTAGACACGGCGAATCAGAATAAGAAGTTACAGTAGATAATGAATCATTTGCAGTATTCATTCTTGTATAGAATTCTCCAGAAAATGTAGGCTGTCGTGAAGATAACAAGAGATTATTAAGCCGATGATAGCGTTGAATAAATATTCCATTAATATCGTACATAAAAAGTTCTTGTTCGTTTTCCGGTAACTTATGTAATTTGTTTGCTAGTATCATTCCATATAAATCATACTCATCATTTTCGTGTTTTTTATTTAAAACATTTTCTAAAGTATTAAACGCCCTCTTCATTTGTCTCCCAGCCTCTTCAACTTCAGGATTTCCTCGACGGCGAGATGTTTGTCGTTGTATCAGGATATTTTCTTGTGTTGGTTGACTAGTTAATTTGTCAGGTGAATTAAATTCATTGCCGTTGTCATTATCATTTTCTAATGTTTCCCTAGAATATTGAAAAAATTAATGTGATAAAATAATTATAATAATAACAAGATTATATAAAGGGTAAAAAGAAGATAGGAGAAGACGAATAATAAGAATACGAATTTAAACAATAATTAATAAATAACAAAACAACTTTCCAATATTAAAAATAATTTTAATCGCATTTTAAAAAAATCTGTTATGAATGCTTTAAATCGTATTTTTTTTATTTTTTAGAGCATTTAAATCCGTTTCCTAGTAATTACATTATACAATACAATACCCACAAATATTAATTATTTATTTTCATTTATATTTCAGCTACCATCAACTTTAAGTGATTGGTTAGAAATATAAAAAGGGGTTGGAGAAAAGTTTCCACATTGTGTATCGGATCAATTGACGGAAAACACATAGTTTTGCAATGCCCAGTTAACACTGGTTCAGAATACTACAATTATAAAAACTGTTATAATTAAACAATTATAAGTGTTGTTTTAATGGGATTAGTTAGTAGTGACTATCGTTTTATATTTGCTGATATAGGGAGCCAAGGTAGAAATAGCAACGGTGGCGTGTTTAAAAATTCTTTGCTGTGGAAAAAAATTTGCTCAAACAGCCTTAACATTCCTGCTCCTTCCCTTCGTGGCTCAAATGTTGATTTACCATATGTTTTCCTAGGAGATGGTGTATTTGTTCTCCGTACCAACTTGATAAAACCATTTCCCGGAAACCATGAGATTGGCTCTCCAAAACGCATTTTTAATCAAAAATTATCAAGCTCCCGTGTTGTGATTGAAAATGTATTTGGAATAATGACTGCTAAATTCCGAATTTTCAAAAAACCAATTTCAATAGAATTAGAAAAAGTTTCCATCATAACAATGACATGTGTGCTATTGCATAATTTTTTAATGAGAAATGAAACGTCTGTATCAATTTATACCCCTCCCGGTACAATAGACATTTATGATAATACTGGAATGATAATTCAACCGGGTTCATGGAGAAGAGAAATCGTCGAAAATTGTGCTATTAAACCTATCGATCAACTACCACGTAGATCACTAGAAAATTCAATACGAATAAGAGAACAATAACGTCATAGTTTTATAATAATAATTAATACCTTTCAATAAATAAACATAAACTAGTAATTATGAAGTAATTATATTATATTTACCTCTTCAGTATTTAATGTCACGTTGCAATCGTTTAGTTTTCCAAGAAAACTTTCCATTTGATCATATAAAAACCATATTGGTCGATAAATATCATTCTGGCCGGCTCCTGATTTAATGTATCCGAAATGTAGCCATAATTGAATTTTTTTTATTTTTCAAATCTTCTATGGATTCATTCAAAACCTTGCTAATTCTGCACCATGCGTCATTCATTTTTGCTTTATTTGTGATTAAGATGCTTTGCATTTCATAAAATATCTTCTGATTGGTATAACTCTACAAATTTATTCAAAATTTCGTTCGTCCAATCAGCCATTTTTTGCACAAAAAGTTTTGATTTCTTTTTGTTTCGTTAACCGAGTACTCTCGAGCTCAGGCGAGAGTAAAGTAGGTACGCCTCACCTCGTGTCTCGTGGTCGGTCTTTATTTAATTGCTATTATCAATGGTAGTAAGGCACATTGTTGTGAGTTCATAAATACACTAACTGACTATATAAAAAGTATATCTATTGATAGACATAATTGATAATAAACATCCGTGACTGTGACAGCGATGTCTTAAAAACCATTTAGCGAGGTACAAGTTTAAATTGTTTACGTATAATATTATAAGTCTGTACAAAATGATTTATTCCTAAATAAAACTTATGTGCAACAATGTTTGTTTTAGGGAATTTTATAGAAACTTGTATTTTGTTTTCCAAACATGTACCTGAATTTGCAGAAAACTTTCAAAAAACTATTAATTATACTAGTCATTCAATACAAGAGCAGTTTATTAGTCTTTGTGCTAATAGTATTAGAGACACAATTATACATGAAATAGGAGATGGTGTGTTTGGCGTAATGTGTGATGAAGCACGGTTAGTACCTATAAATTTATTATTAATTAAAAACTTAAAATTATGATATTGATAAATAATATTTTCAGTTGTTACAAGGAAGAACAAATGGCTTTATGTGTTAGATACACCAAAGATTTAAATGTTCATAAGGGATTTTTAGGATTTGTAGATTGTTCAGTTAAGCAAGATGCCGAAGCTCTGAGTCAACATATTTATGATTATTTCAAAGCTTATAATTTAAGTAACAAAGTACAAATTATTGGTCAATCGTATGATGGAGCAATTGTTATGGCTGGGAAATTTAATGGTGTTCAAGCAAAAATTCAAAACAAATATCCATGTGCAGTTTATACTCATTGTATGGCACACCGTATAAATCTCGTTGTTGTTGACATGTGTAAATTTGTGAAAGTAAGTTTAAAAAAATTATGCACCAATGTTTAAATTTTAATTCATATTTTATTTATTTTATTTAAGGAAACTAGATGTATCTTTAATACGTTAGAAAGTATTTATAATAATTTTTCCTACCCTACAGAAAATCAACAACTGATTGTTATACAAAAAAAATTAGGACTGAAATTTAAAACAATTGGAAGAATAATTGATACAAGGTGGAATTGTAGATACAAAAATTGTGATGCTGTCTTAAACTGTTACCAAGCAATTATTCATGTCTTACAAGAAGAAAATGATGATGACAATGACAAAGATGTAAATGAAGCTTTAGGTAATATGTATTAATTGTTGTAATACTCATTTTTTAATAATTTTTAATGTATTTAAAAATTGTTCCATACACCTTTTATTTCAACAGGAATACTTAATAATTTACAAAAAGCCTCTTTTATTGTTAATTTGTTTGTCATACGCCCAGTACTTAGTATCATTATATCATGAGCAACATGATGCAAGACAAAAATGCCACATTAGTAAAGCAGTAACAATAATTAATAGTATTATAAAAAAGTTACGAAAGTTCGCGTATTCCAGAATCTTTTAGTGTGATTTGGCAGTCTATACAAACATTTGCAGTTGATAATAATATTACAATTGAAATTCCATATCAAGCACGAGGTTTGCAATCTATTTTGTATTTTAATTAAGTATTTATGTTGTATAATTTTTAATGTTTTTGTAAAAATAATCATTTAGATTCTAAGAGAAAGAGAAAAGAGCTGACTCGTCTTAATGATTACATGTTAACTACCTTAAGAAGTGCAACATCTGAACCAGTTGAGTCAACTTTATCTGTTCATGACTATTATAGGAATAATATTTATTATAAGATATTTGACTCCATTACAATAAATTAAAAAAAAAAGATTTTCTCCTGAAAGTTTGATTGTTTCTGTAAACAAATTCATGCAACTTCAATATAAAAGAAGTTTAATATTTATTGATCATTATAAGGTAATATTTATAATACATTAAATACTTATTTATACAACATATATTGATATTTGTTTTTTATTGTATAATGTAAAAATATATATTTTTTGAAATAGACTGTATAGAGTAACACAATATCAAAAATAAGTTTTAATTATATATTTTAGGACTCATTGGGTATCAATAAACAAAACCTAAAAGCGGAAATGATTGTTGCGAAAAATTGCTTCAATAAAGACAGTGATTTGAGTATTGCAGATTTAAAAACTGCTATAAAAAATGAAATATTTCCAAATATATATAAAATGCTACAAGTAGCACTAACTTTACCAGTGTGCTTTGCAACTTGTGAGCGCAGTTTTTCAGCTATGCGAAGAATAAAAACTTGGGTGAGAACTTCCATGTTTCAAGATCGCTTCTCTAATTTATCAATTCTTCATATAGTAAAAGACCTTACAAAAAGTATTGAAAGTGAAACGATTTTAAATAAATTTGTAGAATCCTCCAGAATACTGGTTTTAAAATAAAGTATATGTATAGCTGTTATTACCCACTAATTTATATTTTTATTTTTCTTATGTACTATGTTTATGTATTTGTATTATAGATACATGTCAGTTCTTCTCTGCACAAAGAGCCATTAGTTGGATCATAAAAAAAAAAATGTTATAGATAAAATTGTATTAAACAACTAAATATTGTGAGTAACAGATTATTAAAAATGTAAAATATTAAATATGGACAGTATTATTACTTACGTTGTAAATGAAAAATTAAAAACTAAATGGGGGAGGGGTAAACCCCGCTTCTTAAATTTAAAAAAAAATGTAAGCCCCCGACGTTTTCAATGGATATCCGCTTATGGACCGTATAAAGTAATAACAGTGACTCTTACATAAAATTGAAGTAAAATAACATTATTATTATGTATAATAATAATTTAATATTATTATAATTTCATCAAAGGAATCATTTAATTGTAAGTAATTATTTCGTTATGAATGTAAGTTGTAACTAAATTAGGACTTCTTTGGTTCCTATCTATTATTCTATTAAAATAAAAAAATAATGTCTTATGATAAGCTATGTAATTTAATAAGTTCAAATCATCAAAGTAAATAATTATTCTCAAAATATTCCACATGGAATTTGGTTTTTATTTAGATTGTACATAAAACGACGGTAACATACACTGCTGCAATTATTTTTCAATGTAATGATATTAGAAAATACATAAATATTAAAAAAATTAAATTGGTCGACATTCTTTTTCCATAACATTTCAAACTTTGTCAGTCAATACCTTAAAAATAAAAAACAAAAGAAATCTTCAATTCAAATATATTTTTTATTCAGAAACTGTATTTCACTGGGTAACATTTACGTCGCCATGTTTGTTAACTAAAATACGCTCTTATGAAATAAACAAATTTTAATTTTAAGGTATTTTTTATTGTAAGCATAAAAACTTTTTTTAAATGATTTTTTTACAGAAGATATACTATCTTCAATTAATCAAAGAAATAAGAGTTGATGTTACTTTTGGAATAATCCACCAATTTCTCTAAATGAAACACTATCCACAGATTTGCATCGAATCATTTCTTAGGATAGTGATTTTAACCATTGTCAGATATCGTCTATACTTGACCCACACCTATGCCACTTCCACAATGTGCCGCGACCCCAACCCACTGTGCTACCATTTCATTTTTTAAATATCTTTTAATTTAAATTATTTATAGGGTATTTAGGAAAGTTACACTGGTCCTACAAGACATATACAATAATCTTAATAGTAAATTTAATTCATTATCCTATTTGTTATTATTTTTTTTTTTAGTTCATAAATTTATTTATTATAATGTATAAAAGAATTCCATATAAAATGTTCATCTTTAAACTCGCAAGTAAACTAATACTTGTTACTTTTAAATGGTGAACAATTTATTTTTAGTATTTTTAGTCGCCGAAAAATTATTTGATTTAATAAATGTGTTAAAAGTTATTATTACTTCAATTATTTTATAGTTTTTTTCATAATATAAAAAAGCCACGTACATTAAAAAGTATGATTCTAATAAACTATTTTATTCAAAACATCGACATTAGATTTTCATTCATAGAATTTTCGCAATTTTCTTCGATATGATTTCCTTTAGTTATGTAATGTTGTTAATTGTTTTAATTAAAATTTCTACGTGCGAAAAATTTGNTTAATTAAAATTTCTACGTGCGAAAAATTTGATTTAACAAAAATAACACGTGATGACGCATATGAACATATAAATAAACACAAAGATTTGTTATTTTATAAAATAAATGATGGTACTATTTATACAGATCCTTATATGTCAGTCAATAAATTAGAAGAATACTACCTTAATGACGATATTGATACTCCTGTACCTACGGACAAACTATATATAGGTACCATGCCTCGTTTATCTTACCATACGCTGGTTATTAATAGAACTTTACTTGAAATTACGAATGAAGCTATAATTGTACGTAACGATCCAATAGAAGCCATAATTTGGCTTAGAAATGTTATTGAAAGTATTGGAATTACAATACTGATGGCATATAATATTTCCACAAAAAAGATGCTACAGACTTTACCAAGTGAAAACGAAGCGTTTAATGATCATTTTAATAAAGTTTCATCTATGTGCAATCTTCTATTAAAAAAATTTAGTATTTATCGTTTACGTAAAGATCCAATTGATCAAACTATTGTAATATTTAATGAATATAATCAATCTCCAAAACAAAAAAACAATAAACAAAGATTCATTAAACGTTGTATTAATTTGCAGAAGCGTTATAGAAGATGTACATGTTTAGTAACATTGCCAAAAGTAATAGCTTTAGATATAGATGAAGACATTAAAACTGGATTTAAAAGACTAATTAATTTATATGCTACGATAAATTATGTTGCAAAATACATGTTAAAACTTTATGCTGAAAATTAAAACACTATGGTAAATTGTGGTTCGTAAGATAACATTTTCACTACACAAAATTTACTTTTTTATTCCATTCAAATAGAGCCAAAAATTAGAGTATTAAATTATAAAAAAAAAGTTTAAGAAAAATAAAAAGAATATTATGTGTTTTAATTACTATACGAATATCTAAAAACTGTTCTTTTTTATTTTTTTAATAACTATTATTTATTTCATATAGGATGTTTTCCATGATTAACAATGGTTAATTAACATTATTAACCCTATAACCAATGAAATGTTTTTAAAAATATAAAATAAAAATGAAATAATGTTTTTTAAATATATGCAGCAATATTTTAATTATAAAAATGTTTTTTATAAAAAATTTGTTAATAAAACATTTTTAGAAATATTTTTCTAAGAAAAAAAAATTTTTCTTTATATAAAAATTTTTAGTGTATATATTAATACAATATTGTATTTATATACAGGGTGGCCCACCACTCACTGACAATTTAAATAACTTTTGATCCAGTTAATATTTTTAGCTGATTTTTTTTTAAATATTAGTTAGACGTTAGGTCTATAGCTATATCTCAATAATTAATTTTTTTACATTTTATTAAAAATATTAATTATTTTAAAATTTTAAATAAAAAGTAAAAAAAAAATCTAAGATAGCTATTTTGTAGAGTAGAATTTAAGAAAAATTTTAGTAAAAAGATATCTTATTAATATTCAGTAGTAAATATTCTGTAGCGTTTTGAAGTTTGTGAAATTTTGAATTTTCATGTACTATTTTACGGTATTAAACATTGAAGTACGTATTGAGAAAAGGACAGAAGAAAACGCTATCTTTTCAATATACTTTTGAATGAGAGTGATAAGTAATAATTGCCTTATCTAATTTCTTGTCATGGTATTAATGCCAAGTTTGTAATGTATACACATTATCATCATATGTATACACAGTAATCATGAAAAGATAGCGTTTTCTAACCCATCAAAAAAAGGCATCTTTGGTCAACTCTAAGGTGTGCCCTAAGAGGGTTAAAAATAATACTCTAAGAGTAGTAATTTAGTTTTTTTTTGTAATCTTAAAAATATTAATTTCACCAAAAGTTTATAGAGACTTTTTTGGAGATATAATATTTTTCTATAAAAAAGATTCTACAAACATATTAAATAAATTTCAAAAGTCTGCAAACATTTTTGAAAAATTATTATTTAACCTCAAAAAACGAATATTTAAAATAAATCCCATTCAGAGGTGTTTCGCCAAAAAATATTATGACTAGTTCTAATATTTCAAGGTTGCTATCGTTGTAATTGATTAAAACTAAAATTCAAAAATCATCTTTTATTTTTATTTTTCCTAAAAGAACAATATCTTCTAACACCGCTTAAATAATTAATTTTGTTTACATTTATTATAGAAAAGTATTATATCTACAAGAAAGTCTTTAGAAACTTTTCCGTAACAGTTAATGTTTTTGAGATAGATAAAAAAACCTAACTTTAGAGTATAATTTTTAATCCTTTTGGGGCACGCCTTAAAGATAAACAATCGTCAACAATTTTTGCACAATTTTTTCTAATTTGTATAAATTATCATTCATTTATTTAATAAATTCAACTAGAAGCACTAGAAAATGTTCCAATAACTTTTACCCAACATAAATCAACTTATTGAAAATGAATTAAGTAATAAATGAGTTAAATATTTTCAAATGAAAATGTAAAAAAATAACTCGAAGCATTCAATTTTTATAACAATTATTTATCATATTATACAATATAAAATATATTTCGGGTAAAGCAATTTTAGCAATTAAAGCATATTTACATTTTTGCAATCAACAATATATATTCAGAATAATTTAAAGTAGTTTTATATACAGATAAAAAATTCAATATAAAACAAAATTTATTTTAATTTTTATCAAAACAAATATTAGAAAAATGAATTAAAATACTATGTTTTACAATAAAATGTATATTATCATAACACAATGATTAAAACTTTACTTTTCAGTAAAATATATATTCCAATAGCAAGTTGTAGCAAAAATAAAAGAGTTTTAAAGTATTCATATAATTTCAATAGTCGGTGGTATGTCTAAAGTGGTAAGTTTATAAATATTAAAAATGTGGAAATGCGTCTTTATCGATATAATGTGAATTATTAGCAAAATTGGTTGAATTATAATTTAACAGTAATAGTAATCAGCACATTTTGAATACTTGAGATGTTTTTTGTTCGTATAAAATTTGTTGTCGTTTGATAAGAATTTCGTGTTCATGTTGAAAAATCTGCTAAAAAATGTAGTAATAGAATCGTGTCTTTCGTCGATATGTTTGTGTGGAGTTTCCCTGTTGAGGTCGAATAATTTTCCAAATTGTATCAACTAGCAAAAATTAATTAATCAACATTAACTACAATTGCGGTTTACCTATAGAAAATAGAATAATTTACCTCGTTTCGACCTGTAGTTTTAGGTATGTGCAGTGCTACGTTGGGTGCAATACTTCTCAGCAGGTCGAAGAGTTTTCTACCGCCTCCTTCGTAGTCTTTACACATTTGTTTCTGGAGACTGTAAACTTCGTGTTTCTTATGCGAAGGGTCGCCCCATTGGGGAGACGTCACTATGACCTGTGGCTTATATTTTTTTAACGTTTCGGCAATGTCGAAGAAATCTCCCTGTAATTTTATCCCTGACCCCATAAATCTCTGCGTTTCTTTTGGCAAATTATAATTTTTTAGCATCGATATCAACAGCGATTACTTGTTTGTATCTCTTGGCTAATTGGATGACGTTTCCACCAGCACCACAAAACAGATCCATAGCGACGTCTAAACTGGGACATCTCAACGCTATATGTGTTAATATTTCCCGGCAATATTTAAACGGTTGAGTTGAAAGATTGTTTTTTGACTGTGATATGTTCATATTAAAAGAATTATTAGCTAATATGGAAGTGTTTTTAACTGAATGACGTGTATTATTGGTGTTATATTGTTGTCTATTTTAGGGTAGTTTGAAATTATTTGATTCGTGTATTATTTGTGGTTCTTCAGTTTTCCGGTATTCAATTAGTCTATCCTGGGCCGTATAACGTTTTTCATTGTTCACTGAATAACGTTTAGCGTTATATGTTGCTTTATTGTTCGGCTTAAGTTCAGATTTGTAAGCATTCTTCTTTGTATAATTCTTTTCATATCTATTGCCGACGTCTTGTGTTATGTGTAACATAAATTGATGAAAAATTAAAAAAAATAAAACATACACAATTTATAGGTATGACAATAATACAAGTCATATTTTATGTGCTTTTATTGTGAATATATTTTTTAATAACTGATTAAAGATAAGAATGCAAGTCTGAATTTAAAAAATCTAACATATAGCTTCTTTAATTATTAATAATGTCGTAGAGGAAATAATTTCCTCTAATTTAATAAAGGACTTTTAAATTTTGTAAAATTATTTATTTATATTATTGTAATATATCTCATTAATATGTTAAAAATATTTATTATATACTACATTTTAAATACCTAATTTTTGTTATAATCGTAAAAATGTACTAAATATTAGAATTAATAGAAATTTTAATGAAATTTGTTGAAAGTTATGATAAACAATCAATCATTTTTATATTTTAAATTTTCAATGAATTAATCCTGATATTTGTATAGAATAAAATAATACAATCATTAATTGTGTTCCTTTAACGTTTGAGAACTAAATTAAAGTTATGACATTATTACTGATGACAGTAACATCAGCAAAACATATTTGGCCTCAAATTAAATATTAAGTAAATTATTTATATATAAAATAAATAATATAGGCCTTAGAACAGTATCAGGGACATTATGATTAATAATTAAGGAAGTACTGTTACTATCATTAATACATAGTGTATTATTAACTTATTGGAACTTTTTGGTCAATTTACAATTGAAAGTGTATTAACTAATTCACGTACAAAATAATTTAATAAAATTATATGATAACAATGTTTTATAAGTGTTGAACAGCGTTATTTCATTTAAACAACAATTAAAATAATCAGTTTTATGAATTATATTTAATTCAGAAAAAAAAATATAATTGAACAAACAAAATCTAAAAATATAACAAAAAATTAAATAATGTAACAACAAACAAATATATAACTAATAAATAAAGCAATAAGATGATTGGTTATGAAANTACAATAAATAAAGAAATAAGGTGATAGGTTATGAAGAGGCAAACATTTCATAATAAACTTAATAAAAAATATATATATAATATAAAAAGACATCATTGACAGCGCGCAAACTTCCGTTAACAACGTTAAGGAATATATACATTGGCTGTCGAATGCAAATGAATAGGAGTTATAAGGTAGTATAGTATTTTATAATCAAATCAGTTTCACCACCGTACTCGGTCCAATAGTTTTTATTGCTTCTACGTTAGCATAAACAGTAGTTAGCATTTCTTTTCACGGAGGTGTTACGACATTTTCAATTAATAAAGACTCTCCTTCAAAGTGCTTTGGCATCTCATAGACTTCTCTTCGGTTAAACAACATCGTTTGTGCTATGTCAATCAAGTAAATTTTTAACATACCATCGTTCGTCTCGTCCATAATTTTCCCACGGTACCATTCAGCGCCAAAAAATATCAAGCACATGTCGTACTTTTCAACTTTCTGGATGCGTCTCAAGTTATTTTCCATTTCGCGTAGTTTATCGCACAAGGTGATAACTGACTTTCTACTCCATAGAGTGTACAAGATAACACGTCTTCGTTCGTTTTTGAACAATCATTATCTGTGGAAAAATTATAGTAATAAAAGATTGTATGTATGATAATTATAAATAATTAACTTTTTGCGTCTCGCCTAGTTTTAATGATGGTTTCTTAGTACATGGGCCTATTGTTGTTATGACAGTGTTGAGATTTCGTTCTTTGCAGTATTTTACTTTAACTTCATATCGGTTCATATCTGTGTTCTTTGTGCCATGCTGTTTAGGCTGCGTTTCTTTCGGAGTAACGGTGTCCTTGTACTGTTTAAGTCGGTCTTGAGCTGAATAACGTGTATTATGGGTCTTGTATTGTCTATTTTCGGTTTGTTTAAATTTATTTGATTCGTGTACAATTTGTGGTTCTTCAGTTTTCCGGTATTTCATAAGTCTATCCTGGGCCGTATAACGTTTTTCGTTGTTCACTGAATAACGTTTAGCGTTATATGTTGCGTTATTGTTCGGCTTAAGTCCAGATTTGTAAGCATTCTTCTTTGCATAATTCTTTTCATATCTATTGCCGACGTCTTTGGGTTTCAAATTTTTAGCATTTCAAATCTGAGTGTTTAGACTTTTTTTAGATGTTGAATATGTCAATACGAGTTCATTTTTGTCAATACATTCCTTAAAAAATATAAGTATAAATAACTATGCTATGTACATATATTTTTCACTTACGATGTTAAATACTTCTTTCTTTTTGATAACATTGGTAAGGATATTCATCGAGGACATGTCAAAAAATTGCCCACATATTCCTTGAAGTTTAACGCGATACTCTTCAGGTTGTTCAAGATTTTTGTCATTTACTTTGGTAACTGTTAAATTTTGCATGTAGTCATAATACCTTATGACAATCCGATCTCCTATCTCCAAAGGTACCATATTTTTTTCAATATAGCAAATGAATTTGACGGCTGTTTTCGGAAATAGACTTGCAAATGTCGCGTTGATTTCAAGATTTTTGAATTTTGATTTCGACGCCACTGAGGCTAATAGACTAGTTAGGCTTCCACAAGAGCTTGTATGTTCTTCGTTCGCTGGTTAGACTAAAAGTCCCAATGAATTTTTCAGTTTACTAGCTCTTTTATACTAATTTTTTTCCGTTTTTTTTGGCCAACAACAAATAACGTTGCTAAACAAATTTTCATTATTTCAAAAATAAAAATATGTTATTTTACGATCACCATAATAGATTCCTTTCAGCCAATAATTAATTTATATTTTTTCCAGTTATACAAAATGAAAAAATTTGATTTAGTACTGTTATTTGTCGTTGGCCAAAAAGTCTTGTTTACTTTTTATTTAAGCCAATTAATATAACAAAATATTTTTAATGATTAGATAATATTTATTAAATTTATTTAATAAAATAACTCATTTCGATCATTAAGAAACTAAGTAATCATTAAAAATTATATATACTGATATGTTCATTTTTGAAAAAGTTACGGCAGTTTTTAGTTCAAAAAATTGAAAAAATTTTGAAAATAAGCGATTTTTAAATTTTTAATTTTTTTGGAGGTTTCCCCCATTTACGGGGAACGAGGGATTTTTTTTTCAATTTTTGAGGGTAATGTCTTCGATTAAATACGATTTATGATTTTTTGACGTATCATTGAAAGAAATCGGTTCGGTGATAGCTGAAAAAAGTGGTAACAGACACACAAAAAAAAAAAACACATCATAGTAAAATTAATACCTTCTTAGCTTCGCATCGAAGCTAAAATTATATTGATCCATACATTTTTTAAAAAGTTATAGTAATTAAGAAATGAAAATATAAAATTTTAACACAAAAAAACAGGGTTTTAACTACGGTAACTATACATGCGTACATCAGTATTTTAATAAATACACTTTTTAAGCTAGAATTCTTTATCATTCAGGTGCAACTCATCATTATTTATTCTTTGTTCGTGGTTTGAGCGACAAAGAAACAGACACGCGCCCATTTCTTAGGATATTTTGAAAGCGGACGACGATTCGTTTATTGGTGTCACAAGAGATGACTGATAAACGTATTATTACGGCGGGTATTCGATCGCTAGGCATTTGTTGGCCTTTATACCACGACGATAACGAGTGTGTGTAACGGTCCAGTTTACAGAGGGGCAGTGTAGAGAAAGAGCAGACACGGTCGCGGGGTGACAACATCATGGCCGTGTCAAAGTATAATTAAAGTAGCATTATCACAGATTTTAATTTCTTTGGTTATATTATTATAGATCATGTTTTATTCGTTTTTATTTTGATATATTATTTTAATAATTAGTGAATAATTTATTTCATATTTTTCTGTACTTTTTCAGAAACTATTTATCCATTAACTAATTCAATTTTTTTTATTTGTGAAATAATTAAACTACTAGTCTTCTGTAAAGTATATGGTCTAAAATATTAAAAAAAAAAAAAAGAAAGAAAAAAACTTAATATCTAGCTAAATTCATTATGCTATTTATTATTATTATTTTTGTTTGCGTTTATACGAATTACTTATTGAAATATATAAATGAAACGCATATAAATTAATATATGTTAACTTTATTTTATGAAAAATGTATTATTAGTATTTTTATTTACAGAAATATGTAAAAACAGTTTATTTGATTTTATAAATATGTTAAAATTTATTATTACTTCAATGAATTTACAGTTCTTTCATAATATAAAAACCCACGTACGTCAAAAAGTATATTCAATAACTATTTTTCTTCGACACATCTATAACAGATTTCCATTCATATTTTTTTGTAATTTTTTTCGATATGGTTTCAATTAGTTATGCATTGTTGTTAATTTGTTTAGCTAAAATCTATACGTGTGAACAAATTGATTTGGACCATCTTACACTTGATATCGCAAAAAAACATTTACAAAAACACGATGAAATGTTATCTTTTGTAATACAAAATCGTCCTCATTATACTGGTACTAAACTATGTGAAGAAAAATTAGAAGAACTCTGCCTAAATGATGATATCAA